ATCTTAGTATTCAACGAAAAAAAATATTAATATGTAACTAATCTTGGATCACTACACAATTACCAAATAAAATATATGAGGAAATAAATACCTTGATTGATGGGGAGAACTCTTTATTTACTAAAGTTGGTCAATGTTTTAAGAATAAATTTCAAATAATTTATATTATTAAAATATTATTTATATAGTTTGTCAACCTATGCGCAAATGTCTGAAATCGAATAATTCATATTAATTCTTTATCCCTATTTACATCTAATCAACCTCCATTTGTAGATTAAAAAACTTTACGATTGATCCTCGAATCAACCAACTCACAAGGAGTTGGGGGTTGAATTGATGAATATTCTACCTGATTAGTGCAATAAATTCGTAGTTCCACTGATAATTTATTCCAATACATCATAACTATTGTTTCGATTAAAAATTTAACGTATTCGGAATAGATTTAATACTTTATATTAGAAAAACTGTAAAGATTAAGAAATGAAGAAGAAATTTTAAATATTTTCAATAAATAAGACTCAGAATATAAAAATAGAAGTATTAATAATTAATTATTTATAAAAATGACTACCTATTTTTTCGTTTTTGAACAATTGCCAAATGGCCTATGGCCTAATATTCGTTGCATACTTGCATTATATAGAAAATTCAAAAAATTAAGATAAAAATAAAAAATCTAATGAATTTTCGACGTTAAAAAATGAGGTTCTCATCTCAAACCTAATTAAATCAATGAATCCTAACCCCCAAATTATCGAAATTGTCATTGTGGACGTCAAAATAGTTTAAGACTTTTTCAGTTGGATTGATGAAAAACATTAAGTGGTTTGATAATTCCGATTTTCAATTTCAAGTAACGTAAAAGTTACATATGATTTTAACATTTATATTGACAGTGACAATCACGTGGGAATTTAGGTTGAGGACCTAGAAGCTCAATTTTGAAAATCGAGACTCATAACTACACCAGGTAAAAATTTGAGGAGTCGAAGCCTAATTTTTATTTGTCATGTCCAATTTGGAAATTGAATTTCAAAAGAGATCACGGCTTAAAAGCTTAGTATAAAGTAATTGAAGAAAAATATTAAGTGACTTTTTCAATTAAATATTAAGTGAATTTCAACATAGACTTTTTTACTTTGATTGAAGAAATTTTTTAAGTGATTTGAAAAATCACGTAAGAGTTGCATATATTTTAATGTTCACACGACAACAGTGATTACGTGAGTACTCAAAGTTACATGGGTTAATGACCTAAAAGTTTAATATGAAACGTGTCACCATATTTCATTTTGAATATTGAATATCGAAAGAGATCACGACTTAGTTCAAAGCGTAAAAGCAAAACGTTATCAAATTTTTTTAAATTCGAGTCTCATTAGTAAAAAAGGGAATGGTGAAATTCAAAAACGAAAAACAAATATCAGAGCGTTAATTATTTATCACATTAATACCCCCCAATCCTCACTCACCACCCCCAAAAAAAAAAAAAATAATAATTAAAATAATAATAATAATAATAATAATAATAATAATAAATCTCTCTCTCTCATCCCAAGGAAGCTTCCCGCACCCTTTCTTTCGTCCCAGCATCTTTTGTCAATCACACTGATGGCAAAGACCTCAATTTAATACACACTTTAATTTCGGTCCCCAACATTTTGGGACCACCCAACTTCTTTTCATGTGATATTTATTTTTTTCTTTCTAAAAACGATACATATGTATAACTAATTTGATCGTCCAAATATTAATTTTTGCCCTAATGAAAACTGGATGCAATAAGTCGATGCGACACACTGGTTAGACATTGTGAACAAATTTTTATAGGATATTTTTGCTTATATCAATTGTTATAAGTCGAAAGTTTTGTACTGAATTAATAAGGATTGCGTCAAATTGGTATTTCACACTTATTAAATTTTTAATTTCGATATGAGAGAAAATATAAAAAACACGGAAACTATACACGAGTTTAACATTGATTAAAAATTTTGTATCGAGATTGGGATTTCATTTAATCTCGTAGAAATCCTTGTCTTCCCGTTGGCTCGGTTGAAGATTAATACCAAATTTTGAAGCAAAAAAATATAAATGACTAAAAAATATAGGGGTAGATCTTGCAATTTCACATTTTGCTACTTACGATTGAGCTAAATGTCCATTATACAACTTCATTTATTAAAGTGAATTTAATTACTTTTGAATTGTAATTCATCTTGACTCTCTTCTTTACTTTCTTAGCTCAATCGTAATTTAAAACACGTATATTGCACATTATTAGATAAGACAAAAAATTATAAACAAGGTTTTATAAGATTGATAAAACTTTCATTTATAAAAGTAATGTGATCACGAGAAGACAGGTTATGAGAGAGGAGTAGACTGAAGTTAACATTATTCGAAACGTTGCGTAAGAAATTTCTTTCATTAAATATATTAATAGTCTATCGACACATCGATTGGAGTGACCAAGAAGTAATAGAGCCAAATTTATTAGGAATAAAAATTCACGATTCATGCCTCAATTTACATTTTAAAACATTCAATGAATGTATAAAATGGATTTTACTGACATGTCTATTTGCGTAGGTTAAAGTTCAAAATTTTTTTGTTACACCCTACTAATTCTATGAATAGTACGTAGCTTAGATGACTTCAAAGATTTTGTGGTCTATATTAAAATTAAGAGAGTTACTTATTTTTAAAGTAATCTCTATTTTTAGGGAAAAACATATCTCTTTTTTACTCAAATAAAAAGGTAATTGTTGAAACAAAAACTTAAAAGTAAGTTTGATCCAATTTTAAACTTAGCCAAACACATTCTAAATTATATTTCTAACTTCAACAACATTCATTTATGTTCAAATAAGATCCATTAGTTTGAAAAAGTGAGATGTGATATGGGAAAAACGATAGAAAAGTTTGAAAATACTTATTGCCCATGAAATTGATTGCTTATATTCATGATTCAGGACGTGATGACAGTTAATTTAATATTGAATATTCAACAACTTCAAAGAAAAATTATGCAGGTGACAAAAGGAATTTTTTTAATCTTCAGAAATTTAGTAGAATCACGCTACAAGTACATAATTTTTTAATAGAAAAACTTTACAGATAACACATGGCACGACATTATTGGAAGATGAAAAAATAAATAAATAAACAGTCCACTTACATTATGGCTTTATTGAATTTACGATCTGCATTAAGTTCTGTAACAAGAAAATTCAGTATTCTATTGGTCTAGGAACCATTAAAAAAACGTTTCATTGATTTGTCGGTGACACCGTTAACACACAATTTAAACCAAAAACAATTAGATTAAATTATAAATATTTCTTTTAGAAGACCAAAAGAAATCAAGAATTTATCACCATCCATGCGAATTTTCTTAAACTTCCCTAGTTGCAACCTGCATCAATTTGCAACATGTAATTGATTTTTTTTGGGTTTAATTAATTTGCAGTATATAATTAGTTTTAGAGTAATACTATTTACAATCGCTCACTGTGGTGATCGCCCTACGTGGCATACACATGACAAGTGATTATTTGATGTATTAATGTAGTAGTTTTTTTTATTCATTAATGGATCAAATAACTATCTGTCATGTGTATGTCACGTAAGACGATTGTCGCAGTAAGCGACTGCAAATAGCATTATTCTTAGTTTTACTGTCAAGAAAAGTGTTTGTTAATTTTCGTAGTTGATTTTCTCGACAAAATATATACGTGTTAGTAAAGAAAATTACTTTTAAATCCCACTAAACATCCATAAGGAACATAAACTATGATAATTTTGGTCGTCATTGCTTATTTACCAACAACATCAATTCTAAAACCATCATCGATGTTAAAATTACACATAAACGTTTCAACTCCGTTGTCTTAACATCACATATTACCTCTTTTTTCCATTTTTGTCTTTTTTGATTGTAAAAGGATTGAGAAAAGGATCAGCACATTTTCGCATTCACAAAGCAAAGAATTTAGATCTAAAATGAAGAAAGTTAAAATACATATTCTTGTAACAATTACGATAAATCATAAAAAATACGTGAATATTCATCGTTTTTGTAGTATAAATCTAAATTATCCGATCTGAGATAAATCATATTAATAATGTCCTCTAGTGAGTAACCTTAGTTTGGATAAAAACGAAAACGAAACCAAAACCTTAAAAATTTACAAGCTGTCAACGTTTGAATAAGAAGGGAAGTGTTCTCATTTGCAGGCGCTTATGCCTATTGTCTTATCACATGGTTTCGAGATTTTCATTTACACTGAAATAATATAATAGCTGTCAACTTAAATGCATTAGACAAACAAATCTAGCCCTCAGTACGGTGCTGCAAAAAATCAAAATTCAAATTGAAATCAAATTTAATAATTAATTTTAATCATACATTTTACATTTCAAAGTGAATTGTCCAAATGGTCACTGAACTTTTCAAAAAATTTCCTAAGGGTCACTGAACTTTAAAACTCACATAAATGGTCACTGAACTTTGCAAAATATTTTTAGGGGATCACTAAACTTAAAAAATACCTAAATGGTCACTGAACTTTGTAAAAAAATTTTCAAGGGTCACTAAACTCATTGGCCTCGTGAAAACCTTTTCCAAAGTTTAGTGAACATTTAGGTGAATTTTAAAGCTCGTAAAAATCTTTTGCAAAATTCAGTAATCATTTAAGTTATTTTTAAAGTTTAGTGATCCCTTAAATTTTTTTTGTAAAGTTCAGTGATCGTTTGGACAATTCACTCTACATTTCACAAAATTCGTAACTTTTTAACTATATATTTCATCAATTTTTATAAAAATTTACTAAAAATCTTATTTTAATCCCACCAAACAATATATTTCAAAGATGAGATCAACCCCCAACCCATCACACCCCAATCTTTGCCACCCCACGCCACCTCTGTCCATACCTTTCCATCTGTAAGCGAGTGAAAACGAGTTAAATACACTTGAAAAGAAAGTGGTCTCCAACCAACACCCACACCACACCACACCACACCTCACCTCTTCTAATCTTCTTTATAATCCATTCATCTCCACATTTCCAAGTTCAGGGTCAGCAAATACAAAACAAAAATACACACACACGCAAGCCCTCAAATTCAATACTTTGATCTAAGATTTCCCGAAAAAGTTTTTGTTTTTCTTGAAAAACACACCCAGAATCTTGAAGAAATAATGCAGTACCATACAATGGTTTCTTCTTCTCCACCAGACACTAGCAAAACAACAAAGCTGGAACGCTATAACAGCTACATCCGCCGTGTAAACAGCACGAAGCTTCTTCAAGCCTCCTCGAAACTCCTATTCCGCGTAACCCTTTTAGTTGCCCTTCTTTTGATCTTATTTTTCACTCTTAATTATCCGCCAATTACGGATAATCCGCATCATATCCACTCCAAGAATAATTTGTTTTCCTCCGCCTTTTATGGAAGTGGCGCCGCCTGGGAAAAACAAGTCCGCCACTCTGCCACACCTCGACGCCCTAATGGGTTCTCTGTGTTGGTCACTGGGGCTGCCGGATTTGTCGGCGCGCATTGTTCCTTGGCGTTGAAGAAACGCGGAGATGGTGTTTTGGGTTTGGATAATTTTAATTCTTACTATGATCCATCGTTGAAAAGGGCGAGACAGAAGTTACTTGGGAAGCATCAAATCTTTGTAGTCAACGGAGATATTAACGATGCCGAACTGCTAAATAAGCTCTTCGACATTGTCCCCTTCAGCCATGTTCTTCACCTGGCGGCGCAAGCTGGGGTTCGTTATGCTATGCAAAACCCACTTTCCTATGTTAATTCAAACGTAGCCGGATTTGTGAATTTGCTTGAGGTTGCAAAATCGGCTGATCCACAACCCGCCATTGTTTGGGCTTCTTCAAGCTCTGTTTACGGGTTAAACACAGAAGTCCCATTCTCAGAAGGCCACCGGACTGACAAGCCGGCGAGCTTATACGCCGCCACAAAAAAAGCCGGCGAGGAAATTGCTCACACTTATAATCACATTTACGGGTTATCCCTTACTGGGTTGAGATTCTTCACAGTTTATGGACCATGGGGCAGGCCGGACATGGCTTACTTCTTCTTCACCAAGGACATACTCCAAGGCAAGCCGATTAACGTGTATGTTACACCGGACGGCAAAGAGGTGGCGCGTGATTTCACCTACATCGACGATATAGTAAAAGGATGTGTCGGTGCACTCGACACGGCGGAGAAGAGCACCGGCAGCGGCGGCAAGAAGCGTGCGCCGGCACAGCTGAGAGTGTACAATCTAGGCAACACCGCCCCTGTGACGGTGAACAAATTGGTGGGCATCTTAGAAAGTTTGCTTAATGTGAAGGCGAAGAAGCACATGACCAAGATGCCAAGAAACGGTGACGTTCCATACACCCATGCTAACGTGAGCCTGGCGTACAGGGAGTTGGGGTACAAGCCTACCACGGATTTGGCTACAGGATTGAGAAAATTCGCAAAATGGTACACAAGTTATTATGGGTTTGAATCAAGGGTAAAAAGGGAAATTCAATCAGATGATTAAAAGTATATATCTCCATCATCACATGATGTGGTGGGGTATGTATGTTGAATTTTCCTTTTTTCAATTTTTATTTCAATATATTTTCCCAAATTTATTCCTTTAAAAAAAAAAAAAAAGTTGTCTGTATCTCGACCGACCAATTGATGTTGATGTTGATGTTGATGTTGATGTTGTTGTAGCATAGAGAGAATTTTATACAGAACAGAATTAAGCAGAATTATAAAAAGAAAAGGGCAAGTGTACATCCATTGATATGTAATTTTAATTTGTTTGTACAACAATGAAGACATCAATCAAGATTCTTCTTCTATGTTTCTTGATTTATTTTATTTTAATTATATACATATTTTTTATTTGAGGAGTGGGGATATGATTAATTATTTCTGTCTTTTGAAGATGCCTTCTATGATTGAGAATTGGTAATATGTCTCTAACACTAATTTACAAATTACTGCTTATTTTCAAGGACTGCTTATTCTGGACCCATAAGACCAAAATCATGTCTTTTTCTTTAATTTGATGTTCCTTGAATACAAATTAGCCTTTTATGATTATATCATCGTATTTGTCTAAATAGAAAAGTGTGTATGCAGTGTACATGTAGCTCTTGCCCTCTGGCCTGTTAGGATACATTCCGTGATTTACCTCCTTCACAAAACTCTAGGAACGAGGCGGTGAGGACCCTCAAGGTTGGGGTTCAACCTTTTTTTTTAAGAAAAGTGTGTATGCTCTAGTTTGTAAAGTCGACTGTAAAACCTTTTTAGAACTTGCTTTTGAGTGCCATATGACAATATTTGTTCATACTTCATAGTTGCTAATTGATAGGTCGATACTTTACCCCTATTTGGTATAGTTTAAAAGTTAATAAAAATTTAACTCAAAGTCGATAATTACTTTTAACCATACATTTTATAGAATTCACAATTTTTATCTACTTTTTCAATCATATATTTTATCAATTTTCATAAAGAAATTGTTAGAAATCTATGTTTAACTACACCAAACAGGACTTGAGACTTTTCACTTGTTTAACACGTCCAAGCAACTCCTGATTTCGTAGCATAAGCATATTGTTCCTTCTTACAAAGGAAAGCTATGATGGTTGTTGAGTTGAATATCTAGAGATTGTACAACATTAATTATATCAAGTAAAAGTTTTCTTTTATACCTTTGATTCGTCAAGTTATATAATCTTATATTTTACATCTAAAGTTCGTCACATTGAACAACTAATAGTCACTTACCTTGTTATTCAACTAATTATTATTGACTTTCGTGTACCGACAAGCCACCATCGACCTCAATCTTAATAGTACAAAAATTCTCACGAAGTAATTAAACTCAATCAATGTAAAGCCATTTTTTATCCCTTTCATCGATCAAGTTGCATAATCTTATCATTTATATTTGATAGTCATCTTAAACGATTTATAGTTACATAGTCTTATTATTCAACTAATTATTATTGACTTTCATGTGCAGATAAGCCAACATTAGGGGTAAAAGGATCGAGTAGTTCGTCAACTTAGCTCTTCAAAGTTCGGTCCATGGACAGTTCGGGCTCATTTCAGGACTAGCCTGAGCCCAAGCCGAGCGGTAGGTTTGTTTGACGAGTCGAGACTTGGTCAAGCACGAGCCTAAAGTTCACGAGCCAATTAGCTCGACTCGTGGGTTCGTAAAAAATGTGAACAAAAAATTCAAAAATAAAATTTTGAGCTCGTGGGCTCAGCTTGACTCAGCTCGTGAGTTTATGAGCTCGTGGGCCGAGCTCTTGAGCACGAGGCTCGTGCTTGAACAAGCTAGAGCTCGTGGGTAGATTGGTGCCACCACTAGCCACTGTCTACTTCAATCTTAAAACAACAAAATTCGTCTCATGTGCAGTAATCAAACTCAATCAGTAAATGTTCTTTACTCATTGCCCTCTTTGAAAATTGAATACAAAAAATAAAAAATCTAACTTTTTACAATGTTATATACAAGAAAAATGTGATACTTTCGCCCCAGGGCACATCTCCAAGTGGTAAAAGGGGAGGGTGGAGAAATCCAACTTTGCTTGAGGCTGCTGCGTCAAGAGTTCGAATCCTAAAATATGGATTTGGCTCTTGGGTAAGTGCAAGTGTACAAGCAGCCATCCACCCTGTACCCTTGGAGGCATAATCTGCGATTTACCTCCCTCACGATACTTTAGGGTAGGGGTGGTGAGGGACCCTTCAAGTTAGGGTTTAACCTTTTAAAATGTGATACTTTGCAAAAGTGCGAGTAGTTATGAAGATGGCCCAGCCAGACTGAGGCATGAACGAAATTGTCTAAAATTCGTACAATTTTGTTGCTTTACGTACAAATTCAACCACAAATTGTCCTATAAATGCTACCCACATCCCTCGACTCGCGGTTGGACAATTTCATGCTGTCCTTTTATGGGTACTCAGTCCAAAACATGTCAGAATTTTACTTAGAGCCTGATAGTTTCCCATGGAAATTTTTTTCATTTTCCACATTTTTCAATTGCAAAAAGTTCTCTAGCGTCCATTTTCCTTGGTTTAGTGAAAAACCAATTTCCATGGGTTCGGTGAAAAATTAATTTTCCACCTTTTTTTAACTTTTTTTGAGCAATGAAAATAAATTTTATCCACAATTATAACAAATTCAATCCATTTCATTGACATTTTTCATGAAAAAATGCCAAACAAACACCAAAAGATTTAAAATTTCAATATTTTTTCGGTGAAAAATTATAACAATCAAACATATTTAATTGATAATTTTCAGTAAAATAAGTTTTAGACGACTTAATTCCTTGTAATTCATTTTCTTTCTATCCAAATTTCATTATTGTAATCAAACGGAACTTTAGTGAATGTTACTACGGGAATGTGACAAAAATTTTAGTAGATTTTAATAGAATTTGTCAATTTTATGAAATTTATTATTAAAATTAAAGTTCGATCAATTTAAAGTTGATAAAATTTTAGCAAAGTTTATTAAACAAGTATTACATGAGCAGACATGAAAACCCAACACGACTTATTGAATTCCCTTTTAAGTAACTTATTTAGTTTTCAAGTTTTATGACAAAAAAAATATCTTCAACCATGGAGATCAAGGTCTAACAGTAGAACGTTTATGGAAATTTTGAATGCTAATTGGAAGGCAATGAACAAGATTAAAGAAAAAAAATATTTTTTTTGTTTCCATTTCTATATAGCGATTTTGTGGCTAACCTTGAAATGGATTGTAGGGTAGGCTAAAACTTAACTTAAACAATCAAATATTTAATTATTTATTTATATGTTATTTTAAATTTATTATTATTATTATTGTCTATTTCAGAGATTCCAATCCCAGAAATGTGAACTTATGTTTTTTTTTTTTTTTGATAATTCAGGTGTCCAAACTTCGCGCCGACTAATTCTGAGGAGTGGTGGCCTTCCCTCCTAATACGCCACCCAGTTAAATTCGGATGCGGACACAACTTATACACACTTTGGGCCGAACATTCGAGATGCGGTTCTCCTCCTCATAGACCTCCCTTTACGACGTGTAGACAGGACCTCCGAAGGGACGACAAAGAGCATCATAACTTTGCCTTCACAGAACAACTACCTCCCATCATAAATGTTGCCTTCCAGTTGTCAGGGGATTCGACCCTCCGATATTTCATGTGAAACCTTCCTACTTTACCATTGCACCATGCCTATGTGAACTTATCTTTATTTGACCTCATTAATGCCCCAAAGTTTAGCAAATCTAAATATAACATGCAGTTCTGAAAAAGAATCTTACAAATATTTATATGATATCATCGTGGTCAAGGCAGAAAGGGCAAAAAAAAAAATGTTCATTTTCACTAACGATTGAAATTTGGAACAATTTAAAATAATATAAACACATTCTGATTCAAAGTCAAATATTTATATTAATGTTCCCATGGATCCCCTTTCTTAAAATAATTTTGTGTTTTTCACCGAAAAATAACAAATATTTAATAATTAAAATCAAGGGTTCAAATTGAGACTACGGCACTCACCCTCACTATTAAATTTGCTCATAACCATCTTAATAAATCACAAAAAAGAACTTGGATATATCACCAAGGTCTTAGAAGAAAGAAATAAGGGTTCCAATTGAGGCTATGGCACTCATCCTCACTATTAAATTTGCGAAGATCCCTCTTAATAAATTACAAAGAAGAATTTGGATATATCACCAAGGTCTTGGAAGAAAGAAATTTCAAAATTCAATTTGCATCAAGTTTCAATATTTCTACACCTTGTAATCTTTAAAATAATTTTGTGATTTTGCAGTGAAAAATATCAATTATTTAATTATCAAAATCAAGGACTCGAGTTAAGGCTACGGCTCTTGCCCTGACTATTGAATTTGCTAAGAACACTCTTAATAAATCACAAAGAAGAATTTGGATATATCACCAAGGTCTTAGAAGAAGAAATTTCAAAATCCAATTTGCACCAAACTTGAATATTTCTACCTCTTGTAATCTTTCAAATACTTTTGTGTTTTTGCACCGAAAAATATCAAATATTTAATAATCAAAATCAAGGGTTCGAATTGAGGCTACAGTTGTCACCTTCACTATTAAATTTGCTAAGCATCCTCTTAATAAATCACAAAGAAGAATTTGGATATATCACCAAGGTCTTAGAAGAAAGAAATTTCAAAATCCAATTTGCACCAAACTTGAATATTTCCAACCCATGTAATGTATCAAATAATTTTGTGTTCTTGCACCGAAAAATATCAAACATTTAATAATCAAAATCAAGGGTTCGTATTGAGGCTACAGTTGTCGCCCTCACTATTAAATTTGCTAAGAATCTTCTAAATAAATCACAAAGAAGAATTTGGATATATCACCATGGTCTTACAAGAAAGAAATTTCAAAATCCAATTGCACCAAGCTTGAATATTTCTACCCCTTGTAATCTTTCAAATAATTTTGTGTTTTTGCGCCAGAAAATATCAAATATTTAATAATCAAAATCAAGGGTTCCAATTAAGGCGATGGCACTCGTCCTCACTATTAAATTTGTGAAGAATCCTCTTAATAAATTAAAAAGGAGAATTTCGATATATCCCCAAGGTCTTGGAAGAAACAAAATTTCAAAATTCAATTTGTATCAAGCTTCAATATTTCTACACCTTGTAATCTTTCAAAGAATTTTGTGTTTTTGCACTGAAAAATATCAATTATTTAATAATCAAAACCAAGGATTCGAATTAAGGCTACGGCTCTGGCTCTGACTATTGAATTTGCTAAGAACGCTCTTAATAAATCACAAAGAAGAATTTGGATATATCACCAAGGTCTTAGAAG